GGGGGGTTGAATATTAGTCAGTGGAATAAAAGTTATAGCTACTAGATATTCACTTATTGGGAACACCTCACAATCACCAACATGACATTGTCTACACTACAATCTGGAAGAAGGAGTGGGGTTCAGAAGGCCTTGGGGTGCTACACCTCCACAGTGTCATCCAAACAGAAAGGATGATCCCTAAGAAACAATGTAAATTAAGTTACAATATAAGGAAGGATCTAAGTGTTGTCATGAAGAATTATTTCTAAGAGTAATTCTCACTTTTCACATTCATCTTCCACAACGGAGATCTTCCAGACCAAAACCTGGTCAGAAAAGCAGCTCCTCCCCTCACTGAATCCATTAAAGGTACAGAAACCCGCACAACTAACGCCAAGTACTAACCTCCCCTGTAGAGATAAGAAGCTACAGGGACACACTTCGAGCAAACACATGTAACAAATACGATATGGTCTTCTGCGTCCAATTTCTGGCTTTCATCGGACCAGAAACTCGGGTGACCATCTCCACGAGAAGACGGGAAACCTCAGAGAGGAAAAGTTACTCCGGCACAGGGCAGGAATTTGGACGTTTATGAAAAACGTTGCAAAATGTACTCAAATCTACATTGTGTGCGCGGACTCAAGGTCTGGGAGGTCTCAGGGAGGTTTGTATACAAGGTCACCAGTTTTGCATTTTTGATCTCCTCTGACCTCATGCTTTTTACATACAAACTGGGTGTTTGGCTTGGGAGAAGATGCCAAATTAGCACCACACGCTCAGGATGGAGAGCAAAGCTGATTGCCATGACCAAGGCCTCAGAGTCCCTAAACAAACTTACCATTTGTTCTTCACCTATGACACTAGACATACCAAGGGTACCTTCTACCATCAGGTCAGTGGTCTCCTCAGGTACAGATATGTTGCTGACCATTTACAAATATGTGAAGTGTCCTACTCACCTGCTGCAGTTGGCCACTTTCCACTGTCAACCATACCTCAGACAGGAAGTCACCACTTCACAGTGTCAACCATACCTCAGACAGGGGGTCACCACTTCCCACTGTCAACCATACCTCAGACAGGGGGTCACCACTTCCCACTGTCAACCATACCTCAGACAGGGGGTCACCACTTCTCAGTGTCAACCATAACTCAGACAGGGGGTCACCACTTCTCAGTGTCAACCATACCTCAGACAGGAAGTCTACACTTTACAGTGTCAACCATAACTCCGACAGGGGATCACCACTTTCTACTTTTAACCATACCTCAGACAAGGAAGTCACCACTTCGCAGTGTCAACCATACCTCAGACAGGAAGTCAGCACTTTCCACTGTCAACCTTACCTCAGAAAGTCACCACTTACGACTGCCAACCATACTTGAGACAGGAAGACACCACCTCCCAATGTCAACCATACCTCAGACAGGGGGTCACCACTTCCCATTGTCAACCATATCAAGAGGGTGGAAGCTCCTGCTTCATCTTGGTCAGATGGCCACTGCTCAGCCACATCTTAGGCTCCAAGTGATGACTTTGCCAAGGTCAAAATGGGCCACTGAATCTCTACTTATCACACCACTGATGGGCCACTGAACCTCTACTTATCACACCACTGATGGGCCACTGAACCTCTACTTATCACACCACTGATGGGCCACTGAACCTCTACTTATCACACCACTGATGGGCCACTGAACCTCTACTTATCTGGGTGGTGTCATTAGCAAGTAGATGTGGCCCATTTCAAGGCCCCTTTCACAAATATTTTTGACCAGGCCCGGCAACAATCTCAGGTCTTTGGTTGGCAGGCAAGCTAGATAGCCACCTACAGTTGGAGGAAGGTCTTCTTAGTCAGTCAATAAATGTTATCACTTTAGCACTGCAATCCTATAAGAACAGTTGTTGATCCCGGGAGTGTTTGGTTGTCTTTTGGGTTCAGGGAGATCATTTTTTCTCCCTGTTAAAGAGAGTCTCAGTCTGATTTCAGAGCATTTTTTGTTAGTTTGTGGATGGAGTGAGAAGGTTTTTTTATTGCTGTCTATGTCTCCATTGGGGAGATTTCCCTCTACGTCCTGTCCCGGTGCTGGGTACTACAAAGACAGGAAGTAACGAGAATGTCCTCAGTGGCAACCCAGACAGCAATACAGGGGCTCGAACCCTTCCACACTCCATCCAAAACCAGAAAAAGTGCTGGGTGTAATTCAACATTAAATATACGATACTTTCCTTCTAACCTTCTAAGAAAGAGGTGGGGGGGGGTAAAATAAATAAAAAAGGGGAAAACAAAAGAAAGGTTTATCTTTTTTTTCTGTTTGGCAGATGGAGAGATTTCGGAAGACGCTTCTTTTTAGCGGTGAGGAGGAAGAAGAACGGATCCACATGGTGAATAATTACCGCCCGCCGCAGCCGCTGAAAGGCAGGAAAGTGCAGGCGTCGTTCAAGTGCTGACATCACAGAGCGCCGAGAACTTTCACCCCGGAATAGACGAAATTCATCATTATACCGGCCTCCCCAGGGGCCACAAACTGTCTTAGGGCCCGTGTGGATGGGCTTTGGGCTTGTGTGGATGAGGTCCGTCTAAGATCATTCAGGATTCATTGACAGGTCCATGTGACCTGCAGGTGACCTTCTGACCTGATTCAAGTGGGATTTGCATTCCCTTAGACTTCCGCATACTTACCAAAATTATGGTCCCGGATACTGGGACACTTAACCCCGCCCACTGTCCCCACTTCATCCACCCACTTTCCGGGTTGGTGCACCCAAATTACGCCCACTTTATGGGTTGGTGCCGCCCAGATTCCACCTTCAATTATGCAAGAACTGCCCACTTATGGCCACCGATCCCCCACAATGAAAGCCTTTGAGAGACACTGTACATGGGCCACAACTCAAATACGATTGGTGCCGTGATCCCGGGACAGGACACAGCAATGGTGGGACTGAGGGCCATGATGTGGGACTGTCCCAGCCAATCCAGGACGGTTGGCATGTACGTTGTATGGGAATGCAAAACCCACTTAAAGCAAACAAAAGCCCATCGACACCGATCCATCACCTGATGTATGATATGAGTGTGCGATCGCTCAGGCGCTGCAGAATCCTGCACCCCCCTCACATTTTTTTCTATGACTTTCCAGCAGACGGGGCAGATATTTAAAGGAGGATCAAGAGTCACCCCATCGGCTTAACTCTCATTGAACTAACTTGTGTCTATGACTTTAAAGCTCAGCTCCAGCCAAAACGTTCTTAGTTTGGAGGGTGTGGGGAAGGGTTGGAATCTGCTGTCCTTGTCCCCTTTGGAGAGATTTGCCCTTACTTCCTGTGTGTGTGTGTCGCCAGGACAGGAAGTGAGGTGAATCTTCCCAATAGGGAAGTCAACCGTGATTAATAAAACAATTTCGGCTGGAGATGGGTTTTAAAGGAAAACTCCTATTTTTAAAAAAAAGCTTTGGTCAGCCTCGGGGACTTGATGGCCACTTGGTCTGTATTGCAATCTGTGCACGGCTGGCGGTGAGCTGGACTTGCTTTATGAATCCCAATATATCCCTATGGAGCATCCATCGCGGGGGAGGGGCCTCTGAACACACAATGCTGTGCCCCCCTAGTGGACGGGTCCTAGGAATATATGAAGGGGGGCACTGTGTAGATCAGGGGACCAACTATGCCCTCCACAAGGCACTCAATGTCACGCGTGTGTGTGCCGAGGAGGGAATCTCATCACTGGGGTCATGGATAGCAGTGAGGACCTGGCAGGGGATCAAACCCATCCCCAACCAGTGCAGAGATATGACTATGGTTAGGGTTGTGTCCCTTCTATCTATTACAGTACATGGCCCCTTGTATTTAAAAATGCAAAACTCCATGCTGTCTCATCAACCTGATGTGTGAAATCCTCGATTCCTGAAACCAGGAATTCTGGGAACACCTAATCCAGAGACTGATTCTGCCGGGGTTCCCAACTCCACCCTCCAACTCCTGAGGGAGGGGCACTAGCAAGAGGCTGAAGACCCGCCCCAAATGAATGACCCCGGCATGTTATTTCTACAGGAGGTGTTTGCCCTCTATGGCTGTTTTGTTGCCGTTTCACTTGAATCTCAAACTGAGAGAAAAAAATTTGCAACAATGAATTTGTTTGTATTTTGTCGATTGATATTCCAGTGTTCTATCGAAAGCTCCAACTTATCGAGTTCTCCAACTGCCTGAATTCCGGTTTAGTTAGAACTAAGAGGTTTGGCCAAGAAGGTTCTTCTGCGCGAGCGCCAGCCGCGGCATTGCCCCATACACATACACAGCAGCAATGAAGTATTGAAATGAACTAGGATCACACTAATCCAGCACGTTAATAATCTCACATTGAGTGTGGCACTCAATATGGCCGCCGCTTCAGTGGGGCACGTGAGATTAATAACGTGCTGGATTAGTGTGATCCTAGTTCATTTCAATACTTCATTGCTGCTGTGTATGTGTATGGGGCAATGCCGGGGCTGGCGCTCGTGCAGAAGAGCTTTCTCTTAGTTCTAACTAAACAGGAAGTCAGGCTGTTGGAGAACTCGATAAGTTGGAGCTTTCGATAGAACACCGGGTTCCCAACTCTACCCTCCAAGTCCTGAGGGAGGGGCACTGGCAAGAGGCTGCAGACCCGCCTCAAATCAGTGACCCCCGGCATGTTATTTCTACAGGAGGTGTTTGCCCTCTAAGGCTCTTTTGTTGCCGTTGCACTTGAATCTCAAACCGAGAAAAAAGAAAATTGCAACAATGAATTTGATTGTATTTTGTTGATTGAGATTCCGGTGACATGAACGGTCATTAAGCTTCTCAGACACGGCACTGAATGTACCTGGGAAGTCATGTGACTCCAATTAGCCTTTAGCTCCAACATCTGGGGGGGGGGGCCTCGGTGGCAGAGCGCCCCCCCATTTGGTGCCCATGTATACATACAGGAACTGAACTTCCCCCGGGGTGGGGTAACATTGTATCACGTCGGTGATTCAGAGAATGAGTTTCACACCCGAGGTTCCCCTTTAAGTCTTGCTCTCCTATGATACATTGTAATGTTCCGGCCGCTCTCGCTGACCGTTGCCGGCTGCGTCTGAATGATTCGCTCGCGGCTTCGTCCGATCTGTCGCCAATGTGTTTGTGCAGCAAAATAAATTGTGTTTTTTTTTTTATTTAAACGGTCCGTGTGTGCGTGTGTGATGTCTGATCGATGTCAGGAGGTCGGGTACAGGACAGAACCTGGTATATAAAGGTGAAGTTGTACAAAGCAGTATCACCGGAGCTGGCCACACACGTGACAGTTTCCATCCGCTGGGATCCTGATGAACAGGACAGCTCCAGAGGAGCAAACAGGCCGCAGGTGATCCGCATCTTCCATGACCCGCCCCCCCATATCTGCACCATTCAGGACGCATTGCATTACACCACGGTTTTTTCCCTTCAAATTACAATACACCTTAAGAGAGCCAGAAAGCAGCAGGCCAGCTCACGCAGACGTATCCTTCCTCCAGCAAGCAGGCCAGCTCACTCAGACATATCCTTCCTCCAGCAAGCAGGCCAGCTCACTCAGACGTATCCTTCCTCCAGCAAGCAGGTCAGGTCACTCAGACGTATCCTTCCTCCAGCAAGCAGGCCAAGTCACTCAGACGTATCCAGGGCCGGCCTTAGGCCTTTAGGCGCCCTGTGCGAGAAAGCTTTACAGCGCCCCTAAGTGACCACACCCCTCAGTGGCCACACCCTTTAGTGGCCACACCCCCAGTAACCGCACCCATTTACCACCCATATTTTTGCTAAAATATAAAAGACGGGGTCACGTCGGGTAAATAGACACCAAACATGTCATGCTTTAAAATTGTGCGCACCTGCAAAAAATTACCATGCCCAAAATTGACCATAGGTGACGCTTTAAAAGCTTTTACCGCTCATCAGTTTAGTGTTATCAGTGATTGATGGCCCTACAATGATTGCTCTCATTCCGACATTCGCGGCGATATGTAACATGTGCGGCGAAATGGGCGAAGTCGTCGTTTTCACACGTATGCGCACCCGACGCCTGTTTGCATGCGTGTATGTATGGGGGGGGATGTAATTCTTTTTTATTTGTAACTTTACATTTTTGGGGGGGAAACTTTATTGCCATCACATAGGGGGTTAGAAAACCCCCTTATGTGATAGCAAAATATGACAGGTCCTCTTTATGGAGATATCAGGGGTCTCCAAGACCCCTAATGTCACCTAGGACCCCCCTGAAGAAGCTGATGAAGCAAAGATCTGCTTCATCAGCTTCTCTCCAGCATCTGAAGCTGGAGAGTGACACAAGAATGCGGAAGTGATGTAATATACACCACTTCCGCATTCTGACAGCGGAGAGGGGACCGGAGGGAGCTCGTGTACCGAGCTCCCTCTGATCCCCTGTGACAGAGGCCATATGCTGGTCCCGGCTCGCACTGGGCACAGCGGAGCCCGGGACCAGCTTGACAGCGGGAGGGGGGGAGCCGGGGAGGGCGCAATTCACGGGACCTCATACAAGCGATCCGCCGGCTCTATAGCCGGCGGATCGCTTGTATGTTAACAGGCATCGCTGCCTGTTTTCAAATAACGGGCATTTCCCGCTCGCGAGCGCCCAGCGGTGCGCGCGAGGGGGCGTGGCTGAGCGGACGTCTAAAGACGCCCGCTCAGATCTAGAGAGCTCCTGGCCGGCCGTTTTTTTACAACGGCCGGCCGGGAAGTGGTTAAAATCATTTTTTTTATTTATTTTTTACTGTTGTATTTACTGTTGTATTACTGTTGTTGTATTTTTTCCCTTTTAAAATAGAAGACACCAAATCATCAATTTCGTTTTTAGCAGCCTCAGCACTCACTGAATGGGAAGCACTCAGTACAGAGGCTCCTCCCATTCATACTTACTATCAATAGTTTCTGAATGGGGAGGAGCCTCTGTACTGAGTGCTTCTCCACAGCTCACTCAGACGTATCCTTCCTCCAGCAAGCAGGCCAGCTCACTCAGACGTATCCTTCCTCCAGCAAGCAGGCCAGCTCACTCAGACGTATCCTTCCTCCAGCAAGCAGGCCAGCTCACTCAGACGTATCCTTCCTCCAGCAAGCAGGCCAGCTCACTCAGACGTATCCTCGCCTATGGAATGTGACTCCGCCCTTGACGCATTTCACCTACCATAAGGCTTAGTCATCAGGTCCCATATTGATTATTATTATTGATGGTGAAATGCATCAGCGGCAGAGTCAGGATACATCCGGGTGACCTGGCCTGCTTACTCCTCCGTGTGTGGCCCCGTCGCTCTGACACAGCAATAGAAGCTCCCGTACTGCGGGAAGTTTTATTGATCGATCGATCGAATGGCTACATGTGTGGCCCCGGAGCTCTGACACAGCAATGGAAGCTCCCGTACTGCGGGAAGTTTTATTGATCGATCGATCGAATGGCTCCATGTGTGGTCCCGGAGCTCTGATCCAGTGATGGAAGTGCGGG